AAAAAAATGCTATTTTTGGTAATTTCTTACTCTCAAAACAACAAAATCAAAAAAATTGGTGAACGAAATTCAATTTTCTTATTTTTAAAAATCAAATGGCCGGAAGGTACACGGACCTTCCTAAAGCCTGTATAATTATAGGTATAAAATACAGACGCGACCGGCTTTTCGGCTTACTTTCTTTTTTTATGTCCTTATTCACGGAACTTCCAAAGAAAACTTAAACAGCTCAGAAGAGATTAAAAGTTTATATTTTTAAGGTTTGAACTTTTAGTAAATACTTACCATTGTTTAGTTGAATCAATAATGAACTTAGTTTTGGTGAATTGAGAAAAAAAACAGATAAAAGTATTTTTAAAAAACTAAAAATGGCGGACGTTTTTATGGCGGGAAACAACGCACGCGTGCTCGGTCTCTCAAGGAAATATACAGAGTTAGGTCCCTATACCCCCTCCCCCCTCAAAACAAATATCTACCTACATTTGTTCATGTATAAAATAAATAAATACATAAATACGAGTTTAATAAAATACACTTGTAAATCAGAGGATGGAAACTTGATACCATCATGAAGCAAAATGATGCACTTTTGAAAAGCTGTTGAAAAATAGCGAACGTATTTGGCGAGCAACGAGGAAATTGTGTAGAATACATCATTCTTTTCCTTTTTCTTATCTTTCCCTTTACTTTTCCAATATTTTTACTTGCCGTCTTCTAGTTAAAATGGAACGGATAAAATATTAAAAGCTATTAAAAATTTGCGGACGTTTTTGTAGGATCTGATTCATTGTTTTTTTTGTTTGTTTTTTTTTCTTCATATATTTTCGCTTTTTTCCCCCTTACCATACCTTATCTTTTCCTTTTTTTTTTTTCTATTTTTTTTTCTTTTTTCGTTGCTACTTTTTTCATTAGGGATTCCTCGTGTCAAAATGGAATACCATAATATCATGCCGAAAAATTAAAATTAGGAACTTTTCGATCAGAGAGGAAACGCTAAAGAAAACAGTATTTGGTGTACAACGCTATCTTTGTATATAGTCTAATTCCACTGCAAAACAATAGCTATGTTATCTTATCATCGCCACATGCATCGAGCCACATTTTTAAAAGCACATTTTTGCTAAGGATCAAAATATTTAATTTATATGTAAAAATTGACAAAATTGGCTTTTTTAATCTGACTGCCGGGATGGAGGGTGCCTCAAAATTTTTGCCGGTTCATATGGGGAGGGAATCTTGGGGAATGTGGGTGGGGGGGATGTAAAAACATAGCTTCCAGAAGGAAGGCCAGCTGGACTGCCATGCATATATTTTTATTCTTATATCTTCTTTTCCCCCGTTTTTTCTCACATTTCTGACCTTCCCTTCCCCTCCTTCCACGAATGGCGAATGGTCATTCCTTATTATTATTATTCTTTAATTAAGATTAAGAAGACAAAAGAAGAAAGTCATTTACAAAAAGTTCTTCTTACTGTCACGACCAAACGTGTGACCATTGAAGATATGATTACTAAAGTAAGTTGGTTCCTGGGTAATAAACATTTGTACTAACTTTCAGCATGACGCGGTATGACATTCTATAGAGGCTTTGCGCCATCACGTGATGGTAGCCATGACAGGAGTCAGGAACAATGGAATCTGGTCTAATCTGATTTACATGAGAAAGAACTTAGTTTCCCAGGGGAAAAAGTGTTGTACCTCCTCTGTCATGGCTGCCATCACGTGGTGGTGCAAAGCCTCTATAACACTGAAATGGCTTCGCATAAGAATGGTTTTCGTATGAGTGGGAAACATACAATACTGACTTACAGCACGTATAAAGTACGACATGCCGTATTATTGTAATGGCTTCGCATAAGAATGGTTTTCGTACTTCGGGACGTACAGCACGTATAAGGTACGACATGCCGTAACATTAAAATGCCTTCCCATATAAGAATGGTTATCGTATTATCGATTAATTTTGCGCGGGTTTACGAAAACATGGTTGCATGTGCTTGGATCTATAGACTGCAAACAGTCCCTTTTTTCCACCAGACTCAGTTATAAAATTCCTGTGGAAGCGCGCGGACGGAGTTTGGAGCCAACACTCCCCACGTGTCCAGGACGTGGATAAAACAGTCACTATTTGACTGCAGTTTGGAGAGAAATATAAGACACTGTTAATAGCCTTGTTTGAATCCTTATAAATTCATGTAGGATTTTAAGTTTACGTTGCACTAACACAATTCAAAATTTCAATATATAAATATTACTGTAATTTTTTCGTTTTTAGGTTTCTTTAATGGAAATACCAATTTATAGGTAAGTATTAGTCCAACATTTGTCGAATGTTGATGTGCCATTATTAAAGATACCTTGTACCTCCAACAAAAATTTAAAAAAATTGCCGCCTTGAAGATAGGTCTTCTTATCAGTACGACTCCTAGAATTCAGTAGCGTCTCTGTTTTTATAAGACTTTCGAGCCTGGAGCGATGATTTCTTAAGGCGGATGACACTACCCCTGTAGTGACGTAGAGGGGGTGGCGAATGTTGAAAGCTCTCTTCCTAAACTCATTTCCATTTTATATAATTGTATATTTTACTTTTGAACTTCATTTAAACGATCTAAACACATCTAAAGTTTGATCTATAATGACTGAATTGTTTTCTTATATACCAAAGAAATTATGTCTAAAATACCGCGGACGTAAGTGTTTTTGGCGCGAAAGTGACTTGGACAACTTGTAACCAAGGCAAACAGGAAGCGCACAACTCACAAATCCTAAGAGAAAAACGCTAAAAAAATCCATTTCATTTTAAAACTACAAATAACGATATCAAAAAGTCCGGGTTTCTGCATTTTCGATAGACCACTTTACCATGGGCCTAATCATTTCCACTTCAGACCACGTGTCATTCCCTAGAGCATCAATTCTTTGTTTGACGATTGCGCATGGGAAGGCGCATGAATATGGATACAACTCAAACAGAATATTATTTTCAAGAGAATGACACGTGGTCTGAAATGGGAAATCAATAAACCCAAGATAAAGAGGCCGGCTAGGTTTATTAGTTGCATCACGAGTTCCGCGCGAGAGAAAATGAACTAAGAGAAGGAATCCCCGTGCCCCATCATGTGCACACTTTGATGCTATTTTTAGAACCTATTCTAAAAAAATCATCCAATGATATCATTTGTTTATATTCTCTTGTTCCGCGCTACTAAGCGCGTGCTCAAGAGGTCAAAAAGTGGGATCATTGGTTGTACAATTTGCCATAATTTGGTAATATACTATTGAAATATAGCAATTTTTACGACCTATGATCCCGCTTTTTGGTGCTAAGAGCAATAGCGCGGAATTCTTGATGCATGTATTCACTTCTTCAATCAAAATCATTTAAGATATTATTAATTTATTTTTCTTCTTAAAATAGGATATCTTACTGCACTGCCGACCCAAATTATCCTAAAATCTTTGCATTCATCTCGAGAGAACCAAAAAGCAAGGTGCTCAATTGCCATGCGATGCTATGCAGCAAGGAGTCCATGGTATGTATCATGTTTTCATCGATTTTTTTGCCGCGGTCCGTGAGCCTGGGTTAGTAGCACTCATTCACATCGGCCGAAAGGACTTATTGGATTATAAAACAATAGAACGAGGAAGTAACATAGTTAATTTTATATATATATATATATATATATATATATATATATTATTTGTTTATTAATAAGATTTTGATAGTATTAAATTTATAATGCATTTTAATGTTTAATGAAATGAATTTTTCAATGCAATAGTTTTTAATAGTTTATATCATTTATCTAAATATATATTTTAAATGTTTTCTTGTTGCGAAATGTCTTAGAAATTGTTTATAATTGATGTATATCTTTTTGTAAAGCGTTGTTGGACTTAACGGATTGACGCTAAATAAAAAATTATTATTATTATTATTATTATTATTTATTATTATTATTATTCGTTCTATTCGTTCTATTGTTTGACACCCAAAGGTCCTTCGGCCGATATGAACGACTGTTAACCGTGGGCATGCGATGCTTGCACTGCTTCCCGGCCCACAAGTACACGTCGCTCTAAATCGTACAATTTGCTGTCGCGATCGACTTTTGATGAACGTCAATCAAGTGTTTCCATGACATGAAGGAAAACATGCATAAAGTTAACAGGACGCCTGCGCGCCTTTGGAATGCCGTGGAAAACGCCTTGATTGACGTCGACCTAAACTTATCCTATACTTCGTCGCGATCAAGATGATTCTGCGCTGTAACATCAGCACTTGTTGAAAACCCATCACACATCAGCGGTGAAAAATCCAATTGCGGTAGCCTCCCCAGGCAATTCTGAGGTCAGCCAGCGACATCCGTTCAATTGACCCTTTTACTGAATATGGCGGGGCAGGGGGGGGGGGGGGGGGGGGGGGGGCACGTAGAAAATGTATTAAGTATTGAGTGGACAGTGGACAGGTTTACGTTTTGAAATGTAAACCCCCTTGTATTGTGACAGCAAAAGCTTAATCAACAGTGGCTGAGCTCAATACTTGGTTTTCGAATAAAAACATATCTCAAAATGTCCTTTAAAAAACAATACGTTGTTCCGGCGAAGGCTTTGAGTTATGAAAACCTTGGAGTGTTTTTATCATTCAAGCAAATCTGACACACGGAAATTTGGCATACACGGATTTATATAAGTATTTCAAATCCTGGGTTTTTTTTTCAGGCTCAAGCAATATCTCTAACCGTAGCGGATGCATTCTCGACAGCATATGAATCATATGAAGAAGCAAATCAAGTGAAGATGACACAAGTACTTCATGAAATCAGTCCAGAGAAAGAGCAAAAATCTTCAGAGAAAGAAAAACCAATTTCGCTTTTATCTCTAAGTCAATCATCCTCGATGTCTAATGAAACGAAATCTCAAGATCCTACTCTTGAAAAAAATCCTTCCTTCGAAACTGAAAGCCTACTTAAAAATAACAATAGTTTGTTGCCTGATTCGGGAAATCCTTTTCAAAAAGTTGACTTTTCAAGCTCAAGTACGAATCCATTTTCACAAGCCAAGATGTCGGGATATTCGTGTGATGACAATGGCAGGAGCCAACCTTGTATTAAGGTTACCGGAGATGAATTCCTCGGTGCGTTGTCATCAGGCTCAGTAAATGAATCTGCCAGTAGAATGAAGGCGTTGGTATGTAGTCATGGGAACGTCAACTTTATTTTCGGAGATCGATAATAGAACTCTTTACCTTGGCGTAATGTTTACTCATTTCCGACCACTTGTCATTCTCTAGATCTTGAGAATAAGGTTATTTGTTTGAGTTGTATCCATATTCATGCGTCTTCTCATGCGTAACTGTGAAAAAGACATGATATATATATTCTAGGGAATGACAAGTGGTCTGAACTGAAAGGGATTGAGATAAGGGTTTCTAGAGAGTCGAGGGGAGAAGAGGAAAAGAAAAAAATATAGGAAAAGAAAGTAAACCTTTTAAAGTGCTATACTCTGACGAAAATCGCTCAAACTTGGATTCAGCTGAAACTTCCTAAGAATACTCTTTAAAGGTCCAATAATCACTGTATGAAGTGTTTTCTCGACATTCAGGACGAAAGTATGACATTTTTACGATTATTTTTTGGAGTCTGTGACGTCATACACTCAACATCAAACATTGCTACATATATTTCTTTGTATATAAATCCTTAATTTATTTTATTCCTATGAAGCTAACCCAAAGGGTGGCTAATGTGCTTATTTCACATTACTTGTGACTATAATTTATATTTTGGGATATTCTTAGGAAGTTTCAGCTGAATCCAAGTTTGAGCGATTTTCGTCAGAGTAGCACCTTCAAGGGAAGAGGGATAGACAAGAGGATGGGATATTCGAATTGAAATTTTTCTCTTACTTGTGTTTTATACAATTCAAGATCATTGATCAATATTTTGTAGGATCTGGCCGTAGATGACTTTGATAACGAGTTTACACAGTAAGTTACCTACTACTAATAAAGCGTTATGTATATATTACTGCAGCGCTTGTTGAAGGGTAAAGTTATTCAAATTTGTCATATTTTGATCCACACCCCTCCCCTTCCTCCACCACCATCGCGATGTGGTGCGCGCCGGCTGCGGTACCCGTGAATATACCGCTGTCCACTAGCTCCTGTGGACAGCAGCCATTTTAGGCTTTTCCATATCTCATTGTATATTCATGTGTATCGTAGGCACTGGAAATATTTTACTATCCCTTTACACTCCATGATTAGTGTCACGACAATACATGATTCTAGTCATGACCAATGCAATCCATTATTCAGGTTATGTCATAGCCGCCATGTTGGTTGACGACAACAAAGCATTCTTCATTTATAGCTTCTATTATTAGATCAACCAACAGGGGCTTTGAGTCATGTGGTTGCACCCCAAGAATAGAATCTAATGTTTTAGAATTTAATGTTCCCTTTGCCGATCCAGGCTTGCCAAATCCCGCTCAAGCAGCAACCTGTTCGAAACCCCTGTCCGAAGAAGCGATTTCCATGACGACGTCAAGACACTCATGGCCAATGAGCGGACAGCAATGGATCTAATGAAATCACATTCACATGAAGATCTGTTAATGTGAAACCCGTCAACAAAAAAGAAGTGGTTTACAAGGGGGTAACGAGAAAGTAATATATAGGCGTTTTCCACGCGTCTGAAGCTACGGATACACGTGCGCAGTGTTACAGGCTATCGATGTTGCGAGCCTTGTCACACGACGCAATTCGTCACACGCGACGATCCAAAATTAGCAACATTGCCTCCAATATTGCGCGTATTGCGCGCAATGTTGCAACGCCTTTAGCACCTTATTACATGATAAAATTGGAGCGTTAATAATGTCTAGTCGCTGGGTCAACAGACCCTATTAAACTTGAGTAATATATGAAACGATGGCTACAATCTAATCTTGGTTGGACTTAATGTGGTCATACGTTTTCTGTTTTTATCAGGAAGTCCAACCATTTAAACCATTGTTACAAGCGAATTCGGAAAAGATCTATTAAGTCAAATGAAGATAAGATAAAATAAATCGTCCTTGTTTTTAGAATAACCAGTGACTAAAAAGCCTATGACACTCATTATATGATCAAGCTATGATTAAGTAGACTTACATCGACGACACGGCGGCCATCTTGGATTGCAAGGCATTATGGGTGCCAGGAGGGCAAATAAATCTGTGTTACAGTATTGACATCAATTGATATTTATAGCTCACCACAAGAGAATACAACATAAGATGGGGAAAAAGATGGCACCTCGATCACCTTTACCCATAAAAGAAAGACAAACACACGAATGTCTTTATATTTTCAGTCATCTTTGTTTAGTTTTGCCCCCTGGCAAGATGGCCGCCGTATATCGTCGAAGTAGTTCATTCCCAATCTGCATGTCAAAAAAAAGTCCCATCTCCGACTCCGACGAAGGACTAGCGTCCGAAACGTCAGCAAGCTTTTTCATCTTTTCACGGTGTACAATTTACCTTTTCATCATTACTGTTTCATTAGAAACACCGACGCAGCTCACACTAGTTTTTAGCTAGTTATATCTTCTCATCTCTCGAGTATGGAAGCTTTTTTGATGTTAATTTTCTTCTTATTGTTTTGACTCCTCCAAGTTGAGATTTTGTTCAAGGTGTTTATATCAAGAAAATGATTGTGAATAATATTAATTGTGATTTCATGTTTAGAAAATGATTGTAAATAATATTACTTGTGATTTCATGTTTAGGTTCGCGTTGGTATAGCGATTCGAACTAATTATAGAACTTAAACATATTTATTTTGATAGATCGAGAAAATGTATGTTTGTAAATTCGTGAGAGTTTATTATTATTATTTTTGTATTTTTGTCAATCATATTAAAGCAACTACAACATGCTTTTGGAATGTCTACTGCAACAGCTTTTAGTTGTTGACTTTGTTTTTTGGGGGGAGGGGTGTGTGGGGACGGGTTTTGTATTTGTCAATCAAAATATATAAAGTGCAAACAATAAAACCGTAAAACTTTATTGATACTAAATGGCACAATTTCATGCAAATTCCATCGTTTTCTATTGTTTAATTAGCACTATTTTGTACTATTTAGTAATTAGTGTCTCACGGATAAATTGTTTGCACTCTAATGTTGGATTTTTTTAAAAAATTTCACATTTTAAATTATTCTAAAAAATCTTTATTTTACGTAATACAAGGGTAAATAATATAATTAACCTCTCAGTTGTCTAACTTTTGTTCGAAAACGAAAAGTAAAAACTATAAAACTTGAAAAAATATATAAGCAACTACAGCCATTTTCAAAGAGGTTGAATACTGCATATTGCCAGTAGTGCATTCCAAGACCGAAGTGCATTGTGGGTCATATTGAGCACAATTAGAGTCGCGACATCGATGAATAGGCATGGGCGCATAGTGTTTAAACCGTTAATTGCCATATCATATGTATTAAGAATTATCATACGCATTAATTTATATTCAGGGTGAAATAGAAAGAGTAGGCAGGAGAAGGAAAGAGGGAGGAATCCGATGAGATAGCGCGAGGGGGGATAGATGGCACACTTAACGACAGAGGGCGGGAGGAAAGATAGAAAGGAAGCGGACAGATCTGGATCGAAAACAATTCAAAATAAAACAATTTAGATTTTTCTTACACAACTGAATTTTCTTAATCCAAATCCCGTTAGACATAAATAATCAACAAATGTCTATAAGTCGATCAGTCTAAATAAACATTATAACATCTAAAATCAAAACAACCCAAGCAAACCCCAAAAGATAAAAGATATACGCGAAAATCATCTAACCTCGATCATGATTGGCTAAGAGAACAAGTGAACCAAAAACAGCCAATCAAAATCGCTGTTAGATGAAGCTAAGGATCTGGACGATAGGCTAAAGATCTTGTAAACGTTTTGTCTGAAAACCCTTTTATAAAAAAACATTTTCTCCTGTAAAAATGAAAAAGTTTGGTAAAAATTGAACTCCTACACTTCCACATATGATATACTTTCATGGCTGTTAAAAGGATTTTACCAGGAAACTTCGTGGAAGCTTTATAATTTCGTCTTGGCGCTGACATGCATTTATCTCTGGGTGGCTCAAACTCAAAACTACTGACTTCCGATTTATCTTTCGTCATTCCTACCTCAAATATTAACAACAAGAACATCTACAATATCTTCTGGATAGCTCTAGGACCTGCAAAATGATCTTTAAGCAAGTAGTTGTGTCAGTCTTGAATAAATTCCTTGGAAAATACGTCAAAGATTTGGACACTTCGAACTTGGAGTTGGAAATTTTGAGTGGTGAGACAAGAAAATGTTATCTTAATCTCTTGTAATTTGTAATAATATATCTTTATTTTGTGGTTTATATATTTTTTCTTACAAATGAGAAACTCTTTAGGTATCTATGGATTCAGTTTGTTGGCATTTTTGTTCTATTTACATGAAATAAGTAGCTATAAACAGCAGGTTATATAAATTTAAAAGAGTATTACTTTTGAGAGGTCAAGTAAACGAAGTCTTTATTTGTTTAGCTTCCTTATCCATAATATTACAGAAAAATAATTCCATAGGTTTCAGAAAACGAATTTTTCGGAAATACTTTTTTTTCCGCAGGATATTTGGAGTTTTTTCATTCCAACATTGTCAAGTATTTCAATATTATAAATTTAGTTAATGGCTGGCTTTAAAACACGAATAATATCATCACACCTAAAAGTCATGTGATTATTACTAAGCTCTGTATCGTTCCCTAGGAGTTTTTCTTTTAATTTCAAATAAAATTATGTAATTAGTTTTTTTGAGACCAAATGGAATAAATACACGCTGTTCTTTTTTCCCATTTTGTTTGTAATTTTATTCCCATTTATTCTACTTTTTATTTTCCTCCAATGGGATGAAATGGATTAAAGCTGTGCGCAAAGTTTTTGACATCTTGAAATACTGAAAAACATCGCATGCATGTAGGCAATGAGAAAATAATTTCAAAATAATAGTGCATAAGCGACGGTGAAAATAACATTTAAGATCAGCTTACAGTCAAACCACCTCAAGCGTGAACACGTAGAGATCATTAATGACTTTATTTTTGGATTCTTGATTTCGTTATTCGATTTGAACATTCATTAATGAAAACGAATCTTCAATATTCAAAAAATAATCATAATTTGAAAATTCGATTAACTTCGCTTGTAGGCTCTTGTTTATAGCGCAAACAGAAGGTAAGTCATGTATATTCCATATTCCTTGCACAAAAAGTTGTTTTTGCATTTCAGTTGCATATATTCTTGGGTTTTGTATATGCCAGGTTTTGAAGATTCGTTTTCAATAATGAATGTTCGAATCGAATAATGAAATCAAGAATCCAAAAATAAAGTCATTAATGACCTCTACGTGTTCACGCTTGAGGTAGTTTGACTGTAAGCAAGGTAAAATTCTAGAACAGGAACATTAGTAATTTTGAAGATTTTGATTTCAAACTGTTCATTTTTTTTCCTGTGTGTGCAGGGCAAGCTTTTCTGAAATCTTTGGAGCTGAAAGAGGATGCTTTGGTAATTTGCATTTTTCTTGTTTTTGATGATCAATTATATGTTTAAATATATTWAAAAAAATTAATATTGCCAAAAAACATGAATTGTAAATTTGTTGAATTTGTATTTTTAGCGTGAATTTGATCTTCCTGTGGAAGTAAACTATGGATATGTTGGTAAGTGTAGAATACTATTGCAAGCACTGGACTTGACATAGGTGTTGGGTAGTTGAGGGGGCTGGCAAGGAAGACGAGTAAGAGGTATGGGCGGAAGCTGGAAGTGGTGGGTAGCTGGGGTTTTTGCAATAGTTTGTTGGAGAGAGGGGGGATTGATAGAAACATGAGGAGGGATAATGCGTATGTGATGGAATGGGTTGTGGGTAGTTGAAAAGGTTGTAGGTAGAGGTTATAAATAGGTTAGAGAATGATGGAGGGGGGATGGGTATGTGAGGAAGGATGGTGGGTAGGTGATTGAGGGGAGTGTTGAGTAGGTACATGAGTTGAGGTGTTAGACAGGTGAGAGGGTGATAAAGGAGTGGTAGGTATGTGAGGAAGGATGGTGGGTAGGTGATTGAGGGAAGTGGTGAGTAAGTGCATGAGTTGAGGTGTTAGATAAGTGAGAGGGTGATTAGGTGAGGAAGGATGGTGGGTAGGTGATCAAGAGGAGTGGTTGGTTCACAGGGTGAGGTGTTGGATAGATGAGTGGGATGGTGGGTAGTTGAGAGGGTAATGAAGGGGCGATGGGTAGATGGAGTTTTTGCAAGGGTTGGTGAGGGGGTGATGAGCAGGGTGGTGGGTAATTGAGGGAGTTGTTGAGTAGTTGAAGAGGAGTAGATGGGTGAAGGAATTGTTGGTCTTAGCCGTTACTGTTGTGCCTAGAAGAAGAGGAGGGGTTTAAGTTCCTAGGGAGGTTAATGGACGGGGTGGGGTGGGGTGGGGTGGGGGTTGGCACTTGATTTTTTTTAACCATTGTCATTGCATTTTATAAAGATTACATACTAGCTAGCCATTCTTTTTTATGGTCTAGAAATGGAAAACATACATGTACAAACTAAAAGTGCTGTCTATCAGACCTTAGGGAATTTCTTTTATCATTTTCAGGAGAGATTTTTCTGTCAATTCCCTGGACAAATCTATATTCATCTCCTTGTTACATTTCCGTTAAGAATGTCTACCTTATTGCTGGCCCTGTCAAAGGTAAGATGTATAGCATTCAGGGAGCTATGATTTAAGTAGGGAGGTTTTTGGGAGGCACAGTTGCCGCCTCTCACTAATGTGAGCTGATTCAATTCAAGCCCATTGGCTTAGTGTCATACGTCAGTAGAGTTGATTGTTGGTTCTCATCTGTACTTCAAGGGTTTTTCCTCAAGCTTCTCTATTTTTTTCTCCCACCACCAAAATTAATTTCAAAATTATAATTTGACCTATGGGCGGCCTATCAATTGGGTTGCAAAACCTGTCAAGCATTAAGTGACCCACCCAGAAATGATAAATGCATTAGTCAAGATATACATGTATTTAGATGCATAGAGTAAGGATGGCTTGGGGATAATTTTTTCCTTGTTTTATCTCTGCTAGACAAACCTTATGATGCAGAAAAGACAAGAGCTGCTGAAGTGAGCATCAAAAGGAAACGACTGAGACAGATTGAAGAAAGTGCAAAAGCAAAAGACAATACGCCAGGTAGAAAAATACAGAATTTTTCCTCTTCCTCTTGGATAATTGGCACTAAACCATAGGCCACATCTATGTATTTGCTTCCAAACCCGCAATATAGGATGGCATTACAGCGCAATGCTCAAAAGTATAACCAAATAATAATATTTTATTATGTTTACTTCTATGCATAGGTTCTGTACATTAAACCAATACATTTCGATGCAAAGCTGGCTTCGGGCTGTTACATTTTTAAAATGTTTTTTATATGCCTCTATATATAACTGTTTCAATTTTTCTTATTTCTTCCTTATCATTAAGCTGAGACAACAGCTACAGATGGCAGTGATTCATCATTTGTTGAAAAACTCATAGCACAAGTTGTGAAAAACCTCAAAGTAAGCTGTACTTTCCTGGATATATTGAAGAAATAGAAAAGATGTGTGCAGTTATAAAGTACGCGGGGATTGGCAGAACACAAGAGATTCAAGTGTTAGGAGAAGGGCAACGTGTAGCAGAGTGCTTCTCGACACTTATCAAGTGATCTGCCACTCCCCAAGTGCTTTATAACTGCACACAGCACAGCAAGCAAGTTTTTTATTTCTTTTATAAAATGCAAAGGGCGTATGCATGCTGTGTACTCTCATAATTAAAAGCACGCGCTCCCAACCAATCAGAATGCCAGATTAATAATTACAGTTATTTTATAATTTGCAGCATAATAATGTTTTTATATATATTATTAGGCGCTTGGCTCAGGGTAAGAGTTGGATGGTTATTTAGGGATTTTATTTACAGGGCTATTTACTGAATGTCACATTACAAAATTAAATATAAAATGCTAAAAACAAAGGGATTTTTGTTGCTTGAAAAATTTATTCAAGATATGAAACATTGTTTCATCAAGCAAATTTTTCGAGCTCCAAAAATTGTTGAATGGTCCATCACCCTACCCTACCTATGTTAGGCAGGGTTCCTGCTACTCCTTAAACTCCTTGAAAACTCCTTGAATTTAATTCATGTTTCCAAGGGCACTTAAAAAGCTCTTGAATTTTACGATTTTAGCGAAACTCCTTAAAAACTCCTTGAATTTTTGCTTTGATCATTACTTGCATGGTTTTGAAATGGATTTCGTCAAAAAGATCGGAAAATCTGAAAGTTGGCCATGCAACCACCGTGTAAAACCTTGGCATATTTAGCTGAACATACTCCTTGAAAATTCATTTTTGGGTCCTTGTACATACTCCTTGAATAGTCCTTGAATTTTAAGTGGTTACCTCAACACGAACCCTGTTAGGTCACTGTCACTGACAATGATGTTTTTCATTTCTTTCATAACAGGTGACAGTCCAAAATATTCACTTTCGATATGAAGACAAGGTAATAGTATTTTGTGCACCACAGTGGAGTTACATTATCTCAAACCCAGGATACCTCAGAAAACTTCTTGAACTTGTTATATTAACAGTGTTTTTGAACAATTTTCATTACAAAAACCTACCAATTTTACCCTCACCTGAACACCTCAAACCCTCATTTATTTTTTGAAACAATTTTCTTGGTCTCTAGGAGGTTTGGGATAACAGGACTTTATAATTACTGTACCTATTTATACAGCTTCTCATTAATCACATATAGGTAACCGTCCAATTATTTTCTTAATTGGACAGGTCTTGTTGATATGGGATTAATTAGGCAGCTATATAATCAATAGGTAGTGGGATTTCATGCTCCCCAATCAAGAAATAATTAGACTCGAAAAATTCAGACTCTGACAGCCTCATCCAATTTTGGAAGTCCTCGGAATTTTCCTCGTCCAATTATTTCTTAATTGGACAGCATGGAGTCCTATTACAATACATATACTAATACCAGTATCTTTGTCTGTATTTTTTTGAGGACTATTGTGTGCAATGTTGGTACCATTAATAACTGGGATTTTTACATAACTGCCACATTTTCCCATCAGGTGACATCGGCAAACAGTCCTTTTGCCTTTGGTTTTACGCTGAATAATCTTTCTGCAGAGGTGAGTTATACTTTTCTTACAACTTCAATATACACCCCTTTTAACTTGGAGGTAATGTTTTCCCATTTTAGACTGGTCACATACATTCTCTTGAGTATAATATTCTTATAATATTGAGTTGTATCCATATTCGTTTGCCTCATGTGCAACTGTTAAACAAAGAAATGGTACTCTAGGGAATGACAAGTGTTCTGAAATGGAAAGACATTCTGCCAAGTCAAGACAATATATTTTAATTTTTACTAACATTGATAGCGGGAAAGTATTTTTTTATTGAGATGTATGGCATAAATATTATTTTAATTAATATCATAATAATGATTGCGTTTAATAGACTACGGATCAAGATTGGCAGACCTGTATTGTTGATGCGGCAGAAACAACTATTTTTATTAATATTATAACAATGATTGTGTTTAATAGACTACTGATCAAGATTGGCAGACCTGTATTGTTGATGCAGCTGAAACAACTATTTATAAGGTTTGTTTGGCAATTAAAGCCTAGAAATTAATTTGAATTTTCTTAAAATTTGTCACAACGCATTAATGAATCTATGGACTTTATTTAACAGCTTGCGAGTCTGGACAATCTAGCAGTCTACTGGAACACAAATCTTCCTCAAAGTAGTTTGTTTTCTGGAAAGGCTGATTGGAAGGTAAGTATCTATAAGGAGTTGAAGCAGCTTACAGCATTAAGCTTAATCACCCATATAGTTATGTCAGCCAGACTATCAGCTCTACTTCAACAACATGGCTACTACCTTAAACCCGGGGAGGGGGGGTACTCCCCTATATTTGCTACACAGGTATGTGGCGCCCTATAGGGTATGGTTTTTCGGCTTTTAGGTCTGGGATAGGGTCAGGGTTTTGAGGTCCTGGTGGCACACCCCTACCCAAGTTGGGGTGGTAGTAACCCCCCCCCCCCCCCCCCCCCCGGACCTTAAACCACAATTAAGGCATTATGGGGAGTCCAGGGGGCAAATATGAATATTTACATATTGACTAAAAAATGCTTCTCTTTAGTTTATAAAGTACTCTTGATTGTTGTATCAGTTGTATTAATAACAGCTACTGTCTTTCTTTGTACTACAGATGAAAATGAAGGATGGGATTTCAAGAAAAGGAAACATTCAGGGAGAATATGAATTCAGTAAGTAGTGCACTTTAAGGGAAGCACGGGTGGTGTACGCTGCTAATGCGCCGCCTCTCACCAATGCGACCCGAGTTTCGAGCCCCGCTGTGCGCTCGGTTTCGTATGTAGTAGAGTTGTTTGTTGGTTCTCTCCTGTGCTTTGAGGGTTTTTCTCCGGGTTCTCCGGATTTCCTCCCTCCGCAAAAATCAACTTCTAAAATCCCAATTCGATCTTGGGCTTTCACCCAGCATGGATCTGTGGTTCCATTTGTGATTGTCCCACTCTGTGATTACAGACAAAACTGGTAGACTTGTCTCTCACCTCTGGGATTATTAGGTGTTCCCCTTGATTAGGGGTTTTCTCTGTGTTCATTTCTATGTGTTCTCTTCATTCCATTTCAATCTGTGATACGGATGATCATTGATCTTTTCTTCTTTTTTTCAGTTTTGCATCCTCTTTCTGCCGAGTGTCATGTTATTTTGGATCAGTCATCAGTTATTGAACTTGACACTCCTAAGGTATGTAATGATCTCTTTTTGTTGTTGTTTTTGCTGCTGGTGCTGTTATTTGTTATTGTGTTGTTGTAGCTGTTGTTGTTTTTTTGCTGCTGGTGCTTTTTTGTTAATATTGTTGGTGCTGCTAGCATTGTTGTTGTTGCTGCAGTTGTTGAAGTGGCTGTTGCTGTTGTTTTTGCTGCTTCTGCTGTCGTTGCAGTGACTGCTGCTGTTGGTGCTCCTGCTCCTAGCATTGTTGCTAGCATTTTCCCCCCTTTCTCCTCCTTGTTCACCCTCTTCCTTCTCTAGGACCTTGTTCTAAGGTTTAATTTAAAATTCATTTTTTAAAATTTATTTTGTAGTTGTTAGTGGAGGTGATACAACAGGAATTAGCATTAGCCTTGTCACAGAAACAGGTTAGTTATAACAGTTATTGCTGGTGATTTTAAAGTACTTCTTAAAGTGAAAATTATTTGATAACAAATACAAAAACCATTTTTCCATCAAGACTCAGTAACCAACTTCTTTGCTGATCTACATTAGGTTAACTTACATATTAAATTAAGTTTAGAGAAGGATCGCAGTAAATAGAAATTGTTTAGAAATTATTTCTTATGTTTAAGTTTGAGTGGCCCTAATATGAAACCTTGAGGAACTCCATTTGTAATGGTCCCAATTTGTTTGAGTGGCATTGTTCTTACTTTCAGTGTCTTTAGTAAGGCCAAGCTACGTTTGCAAAATCATTAAGGGCCCTAATATGGATCCTTGCGGAACTCCAAATTAAAGAAACAATCGAATTTTACATGGGTACTAAACAGGTTCTTGTGATTGTTTTGGATTTAGTTTTATAATCTAATGGATCTACTGGATTCTTTCGAACTGATGATCATCAACCAGAAGTACAAGAAGTATCAGCCTAATCAGCCTATCCATGGGAACAGCAAAAAGTGGTAAGCAAGTTAATATACACTTGTTACTTTTAAGGATTTAAGGGGAAAAAAGGGAAAATATTTTTTGGACAAGTTTTTGTATCCAATTATTTCTACGTGAAAGCTTAAAGCTTAAAATGAGTGTTGAGATATCCAGTTTTGCTCGTATTCAATGAAGTCATATGAATACTTCAAATGCTTGACTAAAAAATTTTCAAATTCAAAAATGTCATTTATTCGCTGAAAACTTCGATTATTCGCATTTAGTTGTATAGCCATAATTCCTTTCCACATTGAAATGACCTTTACAAATTATGATAAATATTTATTTTTATTTTTCGTAGGTGGAGATATGCTTATAAATCTATCTGCGAGGAGAAGATTCGGTGTTGGTCCTGGGACAGAATAAAAGAACACAGGTAACCCAATATTCTCTTTCATGCATGGGTACTCAATTCATAATATCTGTCAGTCTTGAGCAATGCAACTAGAATAGAAACGGGCTAGGTGTGCTTACCGTTACCTGGGGGAAAACCTGAAAACTTTTAAAGGGAAAAACATCTGAATGTATAGAATGTCGTTTCGATGGAAAAACTTGGGAAAATTCCGGTCTTATGTTTGTTGGTTTTACCCCGCAGACGCGCGTACCTTTTATAGAATGTCGACATTTCCCGCTTTTTTTCATTTGGTTGGACGCGCGTAAGTTGCAACAAAATAGTGTCACCCAAAGTATTTCGATCACATCGTCGCAAACTCAAAGTTTTCAAGGGGCATGATTTCGCGCGTGCTATTAAGAACGGATATAAACAGTATACGCTGCACCATAGATGACTTGACGATTGAACGTGGTGCATATTACCATCAAACCCTCATATCTTATTGATAACCTGAAACAGCCTCTAACTCGGCTGATAAAATCAAGGCACGGCTAAATCAATGATTCTATTGGAATTTTGCTTCTTAGGTTTTGCGAAGGGAGGAAAATGGGAGTACCCGGAAAAAAACCCTCGAATCGAGGGAGAAAGCTAATTAATTCTTGTCCCATGTGTTGCTGAGTCTTAGAATCGAACCCGAGTCTCCCAAGATGATAGACGAGTACACTCTACCCTTGATTTCCTACGAAGTCTAAATATACTGTGCCATCTTGTTACAGAACTAAATACAAAGTATACAAAGAACTGTATAAAAAGAAGCTAAAGGGATTCCATGAAGGCGAAATGGAAAGATCGCTCAATCATTTGCAGGTCAGTGTCTAGACTTTCGCAAAGTCATTCGTCTTTGTATGAGTTCACGAGCGCTGAATAAAGCACAGGCAGCCCAACCATTGAGGCATCAGATGCGCTAGACGAAGTACTTTTCCAACTTGTTTCCCGCCAATGTTTGCAACCCAAAAATCGAGTCGTCGAATTATGCTAAAAATACACGCCATTATTTGCGCGTAACGCAAATGAAAACCCTGCAAGAGTTACAAGTCGACCTCTCTCGCATATATTCAGTTACCTAGCTCTGTGCGTCTCCAAGAGATCGTTGTGGTCAGTGTCAAACTTTTCAAATTTGACGTTTAACTGTGAGTTGTCTTCTATAGCCGATAAAAGTATAATAATCGAAGAATGTGGGATACTAACAATAACACCCCTTAACAATGTGATTCAGATTCTTGAAGATGATCTCGACATTCCCTCCATACTTATTGCCCGACAACAAGCAGAAATAGAGGTATGAGATTGACGTGTGTTCGCTCGAGAACAATGTTTTACTTTTAAATATTAGCCATTCCGAGATTGAGTTTCATCATAATAAATGAAACTGAAGTACTACCTTATACCCAAGGTTCCACCAAGCAAGAGAAAGCCTAAAGAAGATATCCAATCATCTGCAAAAACAGGCTGGTGGTCTTGGATGGGTTTAGGTGCAGCTGCCTCTACCGCTAACATTCCTGGCACTGACAATGGTACGTATACTATTCGAGTATGGTCGTTCGTCATAGTATGGTCGCCATACGCTGGAAGCCATATTGAGAGAGATTGGAATTAGACTAACAAGCAGACTGACAAGCAGACCGACCGATCGACCGACCGACCAACCAACCAAAGGATGGGCTAACTAAGGGACAGACGGAAATAATAATGATAATAATAATAATAGTAATAGTAATAGTAATAGTAATAGTAATAGTAATAGTAATAGTAATAGTAATAGTAATAGTAATAGTAATAGTAATAGTAATAGTAA